TGTGTGTGTGTGTGTGTGTGTGTATATATATATATATATATATATATGTATTTTTTTTTTAGTAGACATGTTGGCCAGGCAGGTCTCCAACTCCTGTCCTCAAGTGATCTGCCCGCCTCGGCCTCCCAAAGTGCTGTGATTACAGGCGTGAGCCACCGCGCCCTGCCTGGAGTCGCCGGTTTGCAGCTCTGTGTCTCACTCTTGTGTGCCTGTGTCCGGCTGTGTCTCCTCTGGGGTGTATCTGGGTTGTCTCTGTTGCGATGTATCTCTGAGCGAGTATTTCTGTGGGTCATTTATTTATGAGATTCGTCGTTCTGAGGGCCTCTGTATGGGTCCCTCTACCAGCCTCTGCGTCTTGGTCTCCGTCTTTATTTTGACTCTTGGTCTGTCTCCGTTTATCTCTTGTCTCTCTGCATCTCTTTTTGCTCATTACCTCTTAGCCCTCCATGTCTCTGTCTCGGGTTTCCTCTTCCGCTCCCCTTTGGGTCTCCCCCTAGCATCTCTAGAGAACTTAGGGTCTCAGGAGTCATATCTCTGAATCTCTCCCTGACCCTCACTCCAGGTCGGTCCCGCCGCAGTCCCAGTGGCTGTCCCGTCCTAGGATCACTCTGGCAGCTGTAAACCAGAGTATGTGCACGCACGCCCCATTCTCTCCCCAGAGTTGGCCCCAAAGTCTCCATCTGGATTCTACGCAAGACATTCTGAGACCCAACGGGGCCTGAGCTGTGCTGTGACTCGCAAAGGACGCTAGGCTGGACTGCAGTGGGCGGGGGTTGGGAGTGTGGGCGGGGGAGATGCCACAGGGTCATTCTCAGGAACGGAAGGGCGCAGAGACGAGACGGTGGCCTTCTGGCCACTGGTGTCCGGTGACACTGCGTAAAAATAGCACCATCAAGTGGACTTGGGGGAAGTGGAGGGGATTGGTCATTGCGCCTCCCGGGGAAGGGATCGCGGTCGCCCTCTGCTGGGGGTGTGGAGAGAGGCACTAAGGGTTAGAACGCCCTGCTAATCCTGGCCCTCTTTCTCTTCCGGATTTCCTTCCTTCCTTCTTTCCTTCCTTCTTTCTTTTCTTTGTTCTTTTGTTTCTTTCTTTCTTATCCTTCCTTCCCTCCCTCCTTCCTTCCTTTCGTTTTTTTGGCAGAGTCTTGCACAGTCACTCAAACTGGAGTGCAGTGGTGTGATCCCAGCTCACTGCAACCTCCACCTCTCGATTCAAGCTATTCTGCCTCCACCTCCTGAGTAGCTGGGATTAGAGGCTCCCACCACCACATCTGGCTAATTATTACTTTTTTTTTTTTTTTTTTTTTTTTGAGACGGAGTTTCGCTCTTGTTACCCAGGCTGGAGTGCAATGGCGCGATCTCAGCTCACCGCAACCTCCACCTCCTGGGTTCAGGCAATTCTTCTGCCTCAGCCTCCTGAGTAGCTGGGATTACAGGCACGTGCCACCATGCCCAGCTAATTTTTTGTATTTTTAGTAGAGACGGGGTTTCACCATGTTGACCAGGATGGTCTCGATGTCTTGACCTTGTGATCCACCCGCCTCAGCCTCCCAAAGTGCTGGGATTACAGGCTTGAGCCACCGCGCCCCGGCCTTAATTATTACATTTTTCTTAGAGACGGGGTTTCGCCACATTGGCTGGGCTGGCCTCAAACTCCTCACCTCAAGGGATCCGCCACCTCAGCCTCTCAAAAGTGCTGGGATTACAGGTTTAAGTCATCATGCTGGCCTTTTCTTTCCTTCCTTCCTTCCCTCCCTCCCCCCCTCCCTCCCTCCCTTTTCCCCTCCCTTCCTCCTGGTCCATTGCACCAGCTCGCTCCTTCCTTCCTCCCTCCCTTCCTTCCTTCCTTCCTTCCTTCCTTCCTTCCTTCCTTCCTTCCT